TTATATTTTCCCCTTTTAGGTTTAATTATATATTCATGACTTTTTTTTTTTCTCCTTTTTTTTTTGAGGCAGAGTCTTGCTCTGTCACCAGGGCTAGAGTGCAGTGGCATCATCATAGCTCACTGCAACCTCCAGCTCCTGGGCTCAAGATATCCTCCTGACTCAGCCTCCCGAGTAGCTGGGACTACAGGCATGCGCCACCATGCCTGGCTAATTTTTTCTATTTTTAGTAGAAGCGGGATCTCACTCTTGCTGAAAACCAGTTATTTAATAAAATAAATAATTACTTAGTTGTATGACTCTAGTTAGTTAAATGGCCAGAGAAACTTTTAGACTTTTAGCATTGTCATTCAAAAAAGAAGAATTAGCTTCTTGGGGTTTCTCAAGTTCAATGAATACATACTAAGCCAGTGCATTGTAGTAACAACTGCTTATATTTCTGGAGAACTAGCCTATTACTTTTTTTTAGCTCTCCATAGTTTTTATGGTTAACTAATATTGTAACAAAAGACTAGAAAAATTCCAAATGCCCATCAATTGAGAACTCTTAAATAAACAATGTTACAATACAACTATAAAAAAGAATGAGAAAGATCTCCAAAATATTCTTGTTAAGTGAAAAATCAAAGTATAGAATAATTTGTATAGTATGACATATTATGTTAAAGAGGGAAAATATGAATATATATACATATAGTAGTCCCCCTTTATCTGAGATTTCACTTTCCATGGTTTAAGTTACCTACAGTCAACTGTGGTCCAAAAATATTAAATGGAGGCTGGGCAAGGTTGCACATGCGTGTAATCCTAGCACCTTGGGAGGCTGAGGCAGGAGGACTGTTTGAGGCCAGGAGTTTGAAACTAGCCTGAGCAACGTATCAAGACCCTGTCTCTACGAAAAATAGAAAAATTAGCCAGACACAGTGGCGCATGCCTGTAGTCCCAGCTACTTGGGAGGCTGAAGCAGGAGGATCACTTAAGCCTGGGAGTTTGAGGTTGCAGATGATGCCACTGCAGTCTAGCCCAGGCGACAGAGTGAGACCCTGTCTCAACAAAAATAAGCAAAAATATTAAATGGGAAATTCCAGAAATAATGCATAAGTTTTAAATTGCATTTTCTGAGCAGCATGATGAAATCTTGCACTATCTTGCTTCTTCCCACCCGGTACTGAGTTATCCCTTTGTCCAGCGAATCCACACTGTATACCCTACTTGCCTGTTAGTCACCTAGTAGCCATCTCTACTGTGGTGGTATAACAGTGCTTGTGTTCAAGAAACCCTTATTTTACTAAATAATGTCTCCAAAGTGCAAGAGGTAGTGATGGTGGCAATTTGGATATGCCAAAGAGAAGCCATAAAATGCTTCCTTTAAGTGAAAAGGTGAAATGTTTTAATTTAATAAGGAAGGAAAGTTGTATGCTGAGGTTGCTAAGATCTACGATAAGAATGAATGAATCTTCTATCTGTGAAATTGTGAAGAGAGAAAAAGAAATTTGTGCTAGTTTTGCTATCCCACCTCAAACTGTAAAAGTTACGGCCACAGTGTGTGATAAGTACTTAGTTAAGATGGAACTGGCATTGAAGGCAAGTACACCCAGGCACTGTAGCTCATGCCTGTAATCCCAACACTTGGGGAAGCTGAAGCAGGAGAAACGCTTGAGGCCAGGAGTTTGAGACCAGCTTGGGTAACAAACAGTGAGACCATGTCTCTCCAAAAAAAAAAAAAAACAAAAAAAACAAAAGGGGGGCAAGTGCATGCAGGCATACCTCAGGGATAATGCGGGTTCAGTTGCACACTACCATAATAAAGTGAGTATTGCAATAAAGTGAGTTACACGAACTTTTTTGTTTCCCAGTGCATATAAGAGGTATGTTTACACAATACTGTAATCTATTAAGTGCAATAGCATTATGTCTAAAAAAACAACACACATACCTTAATTAAAATACTTTATTGTTAAAGAATGCTAATGATCACCCGAGCCTTCAGTGAGTCATAATCTTTTTGCTGGTGGAAGTTCCTGCCTTGACGTTAATGGCTGCTGACTGATCAGGATGATAGTTGCTGACGGTTGAGGTGGCCATGGCAATTCTTAACATTAGACAACAATGAAGTTGGCCACATCGATTGACTCTTCCTTTCACAAAAGATTTCCCTATAGCATGTGATGCTGCTGGATTACATTTTACCCACAGTAGAACTTCTGTCAAAATTGGAATCAGTCCTCTCAAACCCTGCTGCTGCTTTGTCAACTAGGTTTATGTGATATTCTAAATCTTTGCTGTCATTTTAACAGTGTTCACAGCATCTTCACCAGGAGTACATTCCACCTCAAGAAACCACTTTCTTTGCTCATCCGTAAAACGTAACTCCTCATCTGTTCAAGTTTTATCATGAGATTGCAGCAATTCAGTCATATCTTCAGGCTCCACTTCTAATTCTAGTTCTTTTACTATTTCCACCACATCTTTAGGGACTTCCTCCACTGAAGTACTGAACCTCTCGAAATCATCCATGAGGGTCGAAATCAACTTTTTCCAAACTTCTGTTAATGTTGCCATTTTGACCTCCTCCCATAAATCATGAAAGTTCTTAATGAATCCTTTCCAGAAAATTTTCAATTTACTTTGCCCAGATCCATCAGAGGAATCAGTATCTATGGCAGCTATAGCCTTATGAAATGTATTTCTTAAATAATAAGACTCGAAAGTCAAAATTGCTTCTTGATCCGTGGGCTACAGAATGGATATTGTGTTAGCAGGCATAAAAACAACATTAATCTCCTTGTACATCTCCATCAGAGCTCTTGGGTAGCCAGGTATATTGTCAATGAGCAGTAATATTTTGAAAGGAGTATTTTTTTCTGAGTAGTATGTCTCAAGAATAGGCTTAAAATACTCAGTAAATGATGCTGTAAACAGATGTGCTGGGCCGGGCGTGGTGGCTCACACCTATAATCCTAGCTCTCTGGGAGGCCGAGGCAGGAGGATCGTTTGAGCTCAGGAGTTCGACACCAGCCTGAGCAAGAGTGAGACCCTGTCTCTACTAAAAATAGAAAGAAATTGGCTGGATAACTAAAAATATATAGAAAAATTAGCTGGGCATGGTGATACATGCCTGTAGTCCCAGCTACTCGGGAGGCTGAAGCAGAAGGATCGCTTGAGCCAGGAGTTTGAGGTTGCTGTGAGCTAGGCTGACGCCACAGCACTCTAGCCCGGGCAACAGAGCGAGACTCTGTCTCAAAAAAAAAAAAAAAAAAAACAGATGTGCTGTCATCAGGCTTTGTTTTCTTTATAGAACACAGGCAGAGTAGATTCAGCATAATTCTTAAGAACCCTAGAGTTTTCAGAATGGTAAATGGGCATTGGCCTCAAGTTAGTCACCAGCTGCATCAGCCCCTAATGAGAAAGTCAGTCTGTCCTTTGAAGCTTTAAGTCCAGGCTTCTCCTCTCTAGCTTGAACGTCCTAGATGGCATCTTCTTCTAAGAGAAAGCTGTTTCATCTATAGTGAAAATCTGTTGTTTAGCGTAGCCACCTTCATCAGTGATCTTAGCTGATCTTCTGGATCACTTGCTGCAGCTTCTTCATGAGCACTTGCTGCTTCACCTTGCACTTTTAATGCTATGAAGATGGCTCTTTCCTTAAACCTCATGAACCAACTTCTGCTAGCTTCAAACTTCTGTAGCTTCCTCACCTCTCTCAGACTTCACAGAATTGAAGAGAGTTGGGGCCTTGTTCTAGTTTATACTTTGGCTTAAGGAAGTGTTATGTTTGTTTGATCTTTTGTCCAGACCACTAAAACTTTCTCCGTATCAGCAGTAAGGCTGTTATATTTCTTACCATTGCTGTGTTCACTGGAGTAGCACTTCTAATTTCCTTCACGAACTTTTCCTTTGCGTTCACAACTTGGCTAACTTTGGTACAAGAGGCCTCGCTTTTGGCCTCTCAGCTTTTGACATGCCTTCTTCACTAAGCTTAATCATTTCTAGCTTTTGATTAAAAGTGAGAGATTTGCTACTCTTTCTTTCACTTGAATACTTAGAGGCCATTGTATGGTTATTAATTGGCCTAATTTCAATATTGGGCTGAGGAGAGGGAGAGAAACAAAGGAATGGCAGGTCTGTGGACCAATCAGAAAAACACATACAATGTTTATCAATTAAGTCCACTGTCTTGTGTGTATGTGTTTAGTGGTGCCTCAATAAATCACAATAGTTACATCAATGATCACTGATCACAGATCACTGTGACATACGTAATAATGAAAAAGTTTGAAATATTGCAAGAATTACCAAACTGTGCCACAGAAACACAAAGTGAGCATATGCTGTTGGAAAAATGGCACCAATAAAACAACCTGACGCAAAGCTGCCACAAACCTTCAATTTGTAAAAAACAAACAAA